ACCGCTGCCATGTCAAAGTGCTCGACGGAAAGTTCTGGATCGGGGGGCCAGCGACGCGACGTTCGAGAACGTTCGGCGAAGGTCATGGAAATTGTCGACAACGTCGTGCTCAAACTTCACTCGAAGACCGCTATCAGCGTTGGCCGCGGGCAGCGGGCGGGCATTCAGCGCCATCCTGACCTGCACCTGCTGGGGCGAATACCATCAGTGCCTCGCGCACATCTGTCGCATTGTTGCCCGAGATCATGTCCTGGCGGGGGCTGTGGAGGACCCGCGGGGCATCTCCAAGGCGCCGGCGTAACTTTGCAATCTCGTCGGGGACAGGCGCGCCGCGCCTCCCCCCCCAACGACGTCCTCGAGAAGCGCGGAATCGCCAATCGCCCGCGACACCTTCGCTCTCTCGGGGACTTGCCAGACAGAGACAGCTCGGGCTATTGGGATCCGCCCGCCTGCCTATCGCAGAAGACCCCGCCCCGGCGCGGCCTCCAAGCCCCGGCAGAACCTCCTGGGGTGGAGCGCGGGTCGCAGTTTTCATCGACCACTCTTTGGGCCCAGGTGCGCCGGCGAAATTGTTGCCGGCAAGCTCGGTGGCGCGCCAACTTCTTCGCCTGCCAAATCCTCTGGGTCAACCGAGGCCCCCTGCTCCAGTTCCAGCGCCTCGGCGCCGAGGGCCTGCAAACGGAGCTCGCGCGCGTGCTGGCAGAATGGAAAGAGGTCGTCGCATCCCCTGGTCGCGCCGCCAACAAATTCGCCCAGTTAAAAATTCCATTCCAGAGCTAGGTCGATTAATCGAATCTTCTGATGACGGGATCGACTGGAATATGGTCAGAGAGTTATTATTATTTTCGACCTTCCCATCCGCAGATGTCCGCCGCTGTGCCCTCGGGCGCGGCGTGAACGCGCCCTCGGGCCCTTTGCCTAATCATCTGAGCCTCGCGCTTCGCCCCCGAAGATTCTCCGCGAGGCCCGGGCCCGACTTGCCGAATCTACAGGGCTTCTCGCGTCTTGCCCCGTCTTGTTGCGCGGCCGCCTCGGCGCCGAGGGGGCCCCGAGATGGGCCAGGAGGGCTCCGGGAGATCGTTCCAAGACGCCCAGGATGGCCGCAAGATGGCCCAAGAGGCCTCCGCGACACCCCCGCGGCGGCCTCCAAGAGACTCCCACGAGGGCCCCGAGAGGCAACGATGGTTGATGCCCATGAGGTTGTGAAAGATTTTGGCGTTCTTGCCGGCTCTGTTTCCCGTCGCTCCAAGACGGCCCAAGAGGTCCCCGAGGCGGCCCGAGAGGCCTCCAATGGGGGCCTCGAGACGGCCTAAGAAGGCGCCCGAAACGCCCGAGAGGCGCCCACGAAGCCTTGAGAGGCGCCCCGGGAGACCCGGGCCCCAGACCCGGCCCGCAGGACTCCGCGAGCCACCGCGCGCTTGTTGCCCCCCCGGAAGAGCCGCGAAGTGCTCGGCAGACCAGGGGGGGCTCGCGGCGAAGAAGGCGAGCCACGTGCTTGCAGGTAGTGGGCGGGTCCAACGCGTTCGGCATGTGAGATTTTTCCCGTGGGCAGCCCCGAATCAGATTGGTTGGCCGGCTCGCGCCTGCTCGCTCAGATTGCCGCGCGCCCTCCTCATGCCTGTCAGGAGAGGGCGAACAACGAGTCGTCAATTTTTTGGGGGGGGGCTGGAGAGCGAGATGGTCAATGCCACCTGGATGTCCATGGACCCCCCCGGGTAGCAACGGTATCTTGTGCACGCCAACGTCGCTCGAGACAGCGCATTTTCTGGGAGGCTCTGCGCTGGCGCACGGAGTGGGTCGACGCGAGCAGTCCACCAGCGTTCCAGAGACTCGCGGGGAACTGAGAGGGGGGGGAGGACGAAGGGGGAATTCACAAAATTTCGACGCTCATCGCATCGTCCAGCAAAAGACACATGCAAGGCCGTGGCTAGCTGCCTTCACGAACAGGCAACATTGGCAGAGACGTTGCTCCCGTGGCCCAATTGCTGGTTATTCTTCCACTGGTACAGGTCCTCCCGACATGGGATATGAATTGTAAACTTGCCCTTCTCTGATTTCAATGTGAAGGGCTTCCAAAACTCGCTCGCTGGCGGAATCTGGACCCTTCCCGAGCCATAGCCACAGAATCCCATACGCATCTGGTCCTTCCGTAATCTTGTTCTGCAGTTTGACCTTCACCAGTTCCCACAAGCAAGACAACACATTCTTCCTCATTCTAGCAGTGAAACAAAGATCCCCACAAACTTGGATCCGGAATGTCCCAGCACGGTCGCTGTAGTCGTTCCACACAACCGGTGTGGTGAAAACCGATTCCGCAAACCTTCATACCGCATCTGGGGAAACAAACACTAGGCACAGACTCGAAGGAACATGTGATTTGTACCATTCCCAATGCTCCCTACGACACTGTGAGAGCACATCCCTTGTCCAGCCACCAATCCACAACTGGGTTGGGTTATGCTGCTTGTTCCTATTACTCGAACAGGCAACGTCCGCGAACATGTCGGGCATGGGATTCACCGCGGGGCGTTTGCGGTTCTGGCTACTCGATGACAGGACGTAGAATCGACGCAGTCCGCCCTTTCAGGTCATTGAACTTCAACTCCATGTTTGCTCCAATCCCAGAAAAATGTCTTCTCAACACAATCCCAAACTCATCACCGTGTTCCGTGATCATCGTGCCCATCACCTGTTTGAGACGTTCCTCCCACTGGCCTGCCATCGTTTGGACCAGCGCTTTGCACTTCGTTGACCGACGTGACCTGACGGGCCTGAGGCTCTGAATCATGGGTTCGAGTGCATCCGTCCTCTCCGCCGTTGAGTTGATCGCCGACAACAGTTCCGCCTTCATTGTCCCCAACGAAGCCACGATGTCCCAGTCCTCTGCCGCCATCGTTGGGTCAATTGGAATAACACGCGGAATAATTGTATGGTATCCGTCGCAAGAAAATGCCGCGAATAGAACGAAGCCTGCTTCGGCGCACGTCTGGATGCCTTGCGCCTCAAACGCGTGTGTCGGAGCCAGCCCCTGGGCAGCAACCAAGCTCAAGCGCCCAGGGCACGGCGCTTGAACTTGAGCCCGCATGGTTACGGCTCTGAACGATCCTGATTACGACTAAACTAAATATGGGCGGATGTGGATGTGAATGGTTTGACTACGAGTGAATATTAGTATGAGTGAATCTGCGTGTGAATGGGTGGTTTGTGAGTACTGATGTGGGTGAGTCTGAGTGTGCGTGGGGGAGGGAGGAGGCAGGAATGAAGGAGGCGGAGGCATCGCACAAATAGCAAGAGCCCGTACGCAGGATATGGGAAAAGCCAGCCTTTAAAAAGTAGGTATTCGGGTGCGTTCGCGCACCTCCTCTCGACGACGACGGCGGCGACAGGCAGCGACGGCGACCGACTACGGTCGTCGATGCGACGACGACCGACGATAACGACGGCCAGCCTCAGGCCTCCGCCGACGCGCCCGCGAGGGCCCTGCTGCTGCTGCCGCTCTCCGCGTCCCTGCGAGAGCTGATGGACGACAGCACCACCAACCAGAAGAAGGACACCGATGCGATGAAGGGTATCCGCCAGTGAGGATCGAGGAAGAAAACGCTGCATGAATGTCCGCCACCGTGCCTCTGGGCACGGAGTGGGTGTGTCCTCAGGTCCTTTGCCTAGCACCTGGAGCCTCAGTCCCCAGTCCTGAGGAGAGGCGCGGACCCCAAATTCTGAAATGTCATGGGGCTTCCCGCGTGTTCCCTGGGCCCCCCGCGGCTTATCGCATGACTTTTTCGGGCCCGAGACGACCCCAAGACGGGCCACGAGGGCTCCAGGAAGCCTTCAAGACGGCCCAAGAGGGCCCCGATACGCCCAGAGATCGTCCCAAGACGCCCAAGATGGCCCAATAGGCCTCCAAGACGCTGCAAGAGGCCTCCAAGAGGCCTCCCGAGAGGGTCCCCAAATGCAGACATCATTGATGTTCCTTAGCTGTTGAAGGATCCGGCCGTTCTCACCTTTTCTGCTTTCTGGCGCGTAAAACCGGCCCAAGAAGATGTCCCCAAGGCCACCCCGAGACGGTCAAAGAGGCCTCCAAGAGGGCCCCAAGACGGCCCAAGAGGCGCCCAAGATGGCCCCAAGACGGCCCCCAAAAGGAACCCACGAGAGGGAACACGAGGCGAAAATCTGAGCCTGCCGCCCCAAACGACCCCCAGGAGGCGCCGAGGAGGCCCCTTCGATGCCCCCGCGAGGCCCCGTGCCAAAAGGCTCCCAAGAGGCCCAGAAGAGGCTCCTAAACGGCAGCCAGGAAGCCCCCAAACTGCCCCCAAGAGGCCCCCTAGAGGCCCAGAAGAGGCTCCAAAACGGCAGCCAGGAGGCCTCCAAACTGCCCCCATGGGGCCCCCGAGAGGCCTTCCCAAAGTGTCCCTACGCACAATGCAGAAGGCTCCATACCCACAGCCCAGGCACGGTGACGGGATGGGCCGCAGGCCAGTCGACAGACGTTCGGAGCTGCGCGCGGATCTCTGGGATCGACGCTGGACCCCCACTGCCTGGCGGCGCCGGAGGCGTCGACAGGGGGACCAGCGTCGATCCGAGGAATCCGCGAGCAGCTCCGGCCGAAAGTTTCTGTTCGTGCAGTGTTTTCTTCCTCGAGAGGAGGCACCACGCTGAAGGTCAAGCACTGCACGGGCCCCCAGATCAGCCAGTACTTGATCAGCAGGTCGCTCCCCGCGTCCTCGAGGTACCGCCGCACGCCCTCGAGGAGGTCGGCGTTGAACGTCAGCGCCTTGATGAGGTACGCGATCGGCAGGCAGAGGAAGGGCGTGAGCACGAACTGGTCGAACAGGACCTCCTTGGACACCGTCCGGAAGTCCTGCCCCTCGCCGAACCACGCGGGGTAGCACACGTTGAATATGAGGTTCGGGTCGGGCGGCCAGAGGGGGGATAGCAAAACGGGGGTTTGAGAATCAGCTCACGTAGCTGATTTTCCCGGCGCCTCCCGGCGCCGGAGGCGGCTATGTATCGAGGAATGGGCCCCTCGGTGAGGCCGAAACCAGCTGCATGCAGCAGATTTCGTAACCCTCCCTTTCCCAATCCCCCCCTTTCGCCCGGCCCGAGAAGTGCTGCGCGCACCCCTGGTAGAGACCACCGTACAAGAGGAAGGCCAGAGTTCGCCTCCAGCTGACGGCCCCCCCAAAACTGCACGCGCCTCTGGCTGGGCCAGCGCTGGCCGCCGCCGGCGCTTCGCCCGCAGAGGCCTCTCCCGCGGCCTTGCCGTCCCGCGCCATCCTCTCGCCCTGCTCGGGAAGGGCGAGAGGGGGGGACAGCAAAGGGGGGGGGTTGGGAATCAGCTCACGTAGCGGATTTTGCTTTCCCGGCGCCTCCCAGCGCTGGGAGGCGCCCATGTATCGTGGACTGGGCCCGGCGGCGGGGCCGAAGCCAGCTGCATGCAGCAGATTTCGTAACCCCCCCTGACCTATCCCCCCCTTTCGTTCGGCCCGACCTTTTGCGCCAGCAAGTCCGAGGCGGTCGCCTTGATGGAGGCAACGATGAACGCCGACTGGTAGGGTTGTGTGCCAAACCAAGCTCGGCGGCGCGCTGATGGGGGGCAGTGAGAGGGGGCAAGCGCTCCCCCAAAGCGGCAAGGACTTCCCACGAAGCCGGACCCCACGGCTTCCTGAGAAGCCCCCTGTGGCTTCGGGGAAGGCTCAGCGAGCTTCTCAGACGGCCGGAGGCCTGATGGGCCTGCTGAAGAGGCCCGCCCCCCCTCCCCGGACCCCCGACGTCCTGAGATTTCGCTCATAACGTGAAATCCCGACCCCTTCCCTGGGACCAGCTCTTCATCCTGAGTACAGTTATCGGCCTGACCTAAGGAACAATAAGGAACGAAGCCCCTTTTTTTCCAAGGAAGTCTACGAAGTCCGAAGGAACGGCCGACCCGCGCGTCCACAATCAGAAGGAACACCAGGGGGGCTCGCCGTCTAAAAGGCAGCGGAACGCAAGCAAACCTGCGGAACGACCGAGCCCCTTTTGATAAGCAAGTGTTCCTTATTCAAGCCGCTCACTGCAGTTTCCTTGTGTCGGTCCCGGGGCCTGGCGGAGGGCCCCCATAGCCCGAACATAGCAGAACACATTCCCTCTGGATTGCTCCTCGATGCGTTGGAGGCCAGGGTCTCCGGGAAAACCACGAGGTACCGATACCGCTACCTCCTGGACCTCTCCTGGGGTGCGTTCTGACCAGAATTTCGAAACGGATCCAGCGGTGGCGACGAGGGTCTCCGAGGAGGCTCCCAGAGGCGAAAACGAGGGAAGGGTAGCGGTAGGGGTCCCTTCTCTGCCTGTGATCGGCTACACGCAAGAGTGACCCTTGGCAAGAGTGACCTTTAGTGCGCGGACTGAGGGGGCGCAGAGTGGCCAAAACCGGGCGCGCAAGCAGCCGCTATCGCACCGCGCTCAGCGACCGGGGGGACCCCAATGAGCCCGCACCAACAGGCCACTCAGGCGAAGGGTCACTCTTACGCGCGTAGCCGATCCGAGGTCTGGGCCTCTCTGCCTTCCCCCCCTGGGCTCGGGAGCGGCCAAGAGGGGGGTGTCCAAGAGGGGGGGGTGCAAATCATAACCGGCGGCATGTGCGCGGCCCAGCGGGGGGGCCCGGGACGTAACGAAATAAGAAGAGGCGCCAGGAAATCTGGGGAAATATCATGGCCCCCGCCATGATATCCCCCCCCCTTATCATCACCCCCCTCTTTTCCGCCCCCGACAGTGGCGCGATGGTGAAGCAAAGAGCTGGCCCGGGGCGAGCCTTCACGGGAGCCTGTGGACCTCCGCGGCCACATCGCAATCGCGGTGTCGACCGGACTTCGTCCAGATTACGACCTGTCCTCTTCACCAGTCCGTCAAGACCTTTTGCCCAGCTGTCATCACCCCCCTCTTTGCCTTCCCCCGATGGGCGCAGCCGCCGAGCTGTGTGCTGAACCAGGCGTCCACGGCCTCCAGCACGGCCGCGGCGCCCGCCGCCCACGGCCGCCTGCGGCCGCCGGCGACGCGGGGGCCGGCCTGCGCCCGGCCGGCGGCGCCGAGGGCTGCCCCAGGGCCAGCGCGCCTCAGGGCGGCAGGGAGATATTGAGGGAGTTTGAAAAAACAAGGGCTTTCTAAAACAAGGAATTAAACATTCTAGGTTGTCGCGTAGAGATCGCAGCCCCGAAGCGGGGTAGATAACAAAACTAGTTTTTTGAAAAACAAGAACCAGGGCAGCGACGCGGCATGAAACAAAACAAGGTTTCGTCAGGGAGACATATAGAGGTACAGAGACACCCTCCTGCGAACTTCGCATGGACCCTCGGGGAGGGCGGCGCTGTAGAAAGTCGCTGGCTGCCAGTGGTGATTTACACACCGCCACCCTCCTCTTGAGGCCCAGGAGCAAGCCGTCGGAAGGTGTCTGCGCCTATGTTTTGGTGGCAGACCTCAGGACGGCAGGGTGCTCAGGAGCCGGGCCCAAGGTCAGGGCCTGCAGAGTGCCGTGGGGCGCGCGGAGCATCACCGGGGCTCCGAGGGAGGAAAAGATATCGATACCGCTACGGCGTGGGCATTGGACGATGAACCGTCGGAGAAGGGACCAGGGTCTGGAAGCCGGCGGAGCTCCAATCGCGGATTGGCCATGGACACTGCAACCCCCCTCATTCGACAAGGGATCCTCCAGGGTCTGAGGCCTCGGAATCCTCCCCCTCCTCCTCCTCCTCCTCCTCCTCCTGCTCCCCCTCCTCCTCCTCCTCCTCCTCCTCCTCCTCCTCCTCCTCCTCCTCCTCCTCCTCCGTCCCTCCTCTCTCGCCGTACCGTACCCTTCCCTCGTCACCACGGCTGGATTCGCCTCGGAATCCTGGTCAGAATGCGCCCCGTGCGAGGTCCGTGGGTTAGCAGTAGCGGTATGAACATCTTGTTGTTTCTCCAGGGGGAGGCAGCAATATTCGTTCAGCTCTCCTGGTGCGCTCCTGGCCACAAGGCCCAAATCAAAATGAGTGTGTCTCGGGCCAAGACGGCTACGGAACCGATAGCGCTCGCCTTCGCAGCTGACGAAGCACCTCTTTCGCTGTCCACCTTGGCGAGAAACTATACTCACATTGCAGCTGTGGTGCAGGAAACCTCTAGCCCCAGAGGCCTGAGCAGGCACTCGAGCGGTTTAGAGCGCACCTTTGAATTCATGGGCCGCGGTATCCTGGGGTGGGGCGATCGACCACTGCAATGCTCCAGGCTCCGAGCGAACTAAGGACCGAAGAGCGGGCATCACACGAGCGGCGGCAAGGACCCACACCGACCCTGGAAACGGCCACCGCCTCCGACCCAGGGCGCCCTACCACGCAGTCCCACGAGCTTCAGGAGGGAACTCTTCGGCTAGACGTCAGAGTGACCCTGGGTAAGAGTGGCCTTTGGTGCGCAGCTTCTGGGGGCGCGAGAGAGCCAAACCCAAGGGCGCGGGCCGCTTCTATCGCATCGCGCTCGGCGATCGGGGGGGAGCCCGATGAGCCCGCACCCAAGGTCACTCCGGCGAAGGGTCACTCTTCCGTGTAGTCGAACTCTTCGGCCCGCAGCCGGGGCCGCCCAAGCCGGCCCGAGACAAACGGCACGGCATCAGACGGCACGGGAGGGCAGGCCAGCGTTCCGAGCCGACCCGCCAGCACACCCAGAGCACGTGCACACCCAGCGCCCAACGGGGCTTGCCAGCAACGTGGGGGGCATTATGGATCTGCCTGGGCGCCGTGCCCGCGCCCACCGCAACTGATGTGGCAGGCACCTTCTCCCGCCCTCTCCCTCGCGCCGCGCAGAAGGAGAGGGAGTGCATGGGCAGGAGGGGGTGATTGCTGCCCTGCCGCTGACGCTGCTCACACTCTCCTGCCTCTCACTCCTTGCACTTGCTCGCTGAGCTTGACTAGGCCACTGATCACCAGGGCCTTCATCGACCGACCGACCGAGGGGAACGGGGAGCTGAGAGGAGGGAGCCAGACATTCGACGTTGGGATTTTGCACGCCGTGCCCCCACACGTTCGTCTTGAACATTTGCAAGAGCTTCACGGATTGAGGGCGGGCCGTTTTCAAAGTGTGGTTCTCGCTTCAGCGCCGCACGCATTGGTATTAAAATATCGGCAGCAGATTTGCAAATTGAGGGCGGTTGGCTTTCTAAATGTGGCTCTCGCTTTAGCGCCGCGCGCATTCATTTGAAACCTTTGCAGAAGTTTCACGGATTGAGGGCGGGTCGTTTTCAAAATGTGGCTCTTGCCCCAGCGCCGCGTTTGCAAGAGTTTCATGGGTGGAGGGCGGGCCGTTTTCAAACTGTGGTTATCACCTGAGCGCCGTGCACAGTCGTTCTGACATATTGCAAGAGCTTCACGGGTTGAGGGCGTGTTTTCTTGCCGTTTTTTTTTTGTTTTTTTTCGTTTTTTTGTTTGCAAGTGTGGTTTTCGCGTAAGCGCCGCGCACATTCGTCTAAAACGTTTGCAACAGTTTCGCATACCTCATGGCTAACGTACTGGACATGGGGTTTGGAACGGTTCAGGAATGCCAGGGCGCAACGGTATGTTGATTCGCGGTGTTGAAGTTCCAGGAGTAAGGTTCTGGCACGTTTCAGGATCGCAAAAACGTAGCAACAATGTTAACTTGTGGCGTTGGAGTCCTGATAATGGTGTTTTGGTGCGCTTCAAGATGTTCACACGGTTGTCCCCGAACGGGGCAATTCCTTCCAAGGAAATGACCCACCACATGCTCCTGTGAAGAGGGATCTTGGGGAGAGGATGAATTTCAACATCGTTGATGAGTCTTGGGTAGACACTGGTCCGCCTCCTCGTCCTCCTTCTCCCGCTGCTCCCCCCCTTCCCTTTCCATGATTTCCTTCTCCTCCTCCTCCTTTCCTTCGCCTCCTCCTCCTCCTCCCCTTCCTCTTCCTCCTTCTCCTCTGCCCTTCCCCCGTCTTTCTCAGCCTCCTCCTCCTCCTCCTCCTCCTCCTCCTGCTCCTCCTCCCCGTCCT